ATCCGTGCTTCTGCTTCAGTGGCAGATAAGCATACCGCAGTTTTTTCCTCTCATATGCTTCATCTACCGCATCCTCCCATGGCACTGTTAACTCTATCAGTTGAAACATGCGTGCTGATCCAGACCACAAAAAATATCTGGTCTGAGCTTAGTTGTGGCAATCTCAGGTGGAAAAATAAGCCGTTGATCAAGATCTGCCAGCATCTTCCAGTCCCTAGCAGCTTCCAGTTGTCCTGGGCGAGAACTGGTTTTTACACCTTTTCTTGGTGGTTGCTCGCCAGGGCGGAGGAATATTGTCTTCTGTGTGTAATGTTTTGCTGAAACATGTGGCAACTTATTGGTCGTGTTACGCTTGCCTTCCAATGCTATGCTTGCCTTCTAAAGCCAAACATCGCAGTACTTGGCACCAAGTAAACCGATCTTGGCTAAGAGCCACCTTACATCCTGTAAAAATGTGCGTTAATATGGCTGGTGATGAACACAAGATCTTCTCCTACCCAGAGGTTTAGGTTCTGTGGTGATGGGAGGACATCATACGTTGACCTGAAAAGGAAACTGATCCTTCTCTCTTCCATTGACCAAAGGTCTTGCCAGCCCATCTTGTGTTGTTCCACACTCTCCCATCTCATCACTCTCCCTGCTTGGCCTGGGAAATTGCCTTTATACATCTCATACTCTCCTCCTGCTTACACGTCTCGTTGACAACCAGCTTTCTCCTTTGAGCTCTTTTGAGCCATGTGCCATTTAGTAGGAGCTAAACTGAGTCCAAACACAGGTGCTGCCTCCGATACACATTTGTGATTTGACTCTACTAAGGTAATTTCCAGTCTGACCTTGGCGCACTTAAACTCCTTGGTTAAAGCAGAGACTGGCAGCTGCAATATTCCTTTACTATAAAGTCCTACTCTGCTGAGGCAGCTTGGAAATCCCAACCGTTTCCTGATGCATGAACTTATTATGTATGAACCATGCCATACCGTACTATGCAGTGGAAAAGCGCCATTAGATCCCAATCGTACCATCTCCCAAGACTCTTCACTGGCTACTCAGAAACTGTTTGTATTGCCTCACCATTACTGAATAATGTTTTATCAACTTCCTTCCCTTTAACTATCGAGATGCTCCTTGATTTAGACTTTAGACGGCTTAAATTTTCTTTGTGCCCAGAGAATATTATCAATTAACTTACCAAATAACCGATTAGTGCAGGCTACTGTTGCAGTCATGGCTGTCATGTCATCCATGTATGCTCTGATTGGTGGTAGTCGCATCCCAGAAGCCAAACGCTCTCCTCATACTACCCATCTTAATGCCCTAATGATTACTTCCATTACCATGGTAAAAGCCAGTGGAGAAATGGTGCATCCTGCCATTATTCCGACCTCTAAGCGTTGCCATGTAGTGCTAAATTCTTGAGTTGAGAAACTAAATTACAAATCTACAAAATAGGCTTTCACTAAATTTGTTATTGACATTGGTACTCTGAAAAAATAAAATGCTACACAAAGAAGCTCTTGAGGCACTGAACCAAATCTAGGAATGTCAGAGCTCCTTCCTCTCCTTTTTAGCTGATATAATTCATTTCCAGATAACGTTGATGTGTTCTAAGCATCCTGGGAACCCTGGAATGCCCGCTTTTTGAACTGAAGTGTCAATGAAGCCATTCTTCAATAGGTAGGTGGACAATCGCTGAGCAATAATGCTGAGGAAAATCTTACCTTCAACGTTTAATAATGAAATAGGACGAAACTGACTGATGCTTGTAGCATCCTTTTCTTTTGGTATAAAGACTCCACCTGCTCTGCGTCATGCTCTAGGTACAACCTGTTTTTCCCATGTCACTTTTATCAATTTCCACAGAATTCACAGAACTCCTGAAGCACTCTTGTACACTCTGTACGGATCTCCATTAGGCCCTGGAGAAGGCCTTGTCATTCTCACAGCCTGCTGTACCTCTTTCCACTTAGGTGCACAGACCTCCATTTGGTATTCTGGTGGATTGATAGGTGGGATATCTGATGGAATTGACATCTGTATGTGTTTCCTCCAAATATCTCTGTAGCTCAACCCTAGATGCTTTTAAAATTCCATTCTTCTCACTGGTGAATAACTTCTTTTCGAATTTGAATGGGTCTTTATAGAAATTATCACTCGCATGTTCCTTCTTTTTTTAGCGCTTCCGTAGGCGTAGTCTTTTCCGTTGCTTCCTCAGCTTTCTCCTTTCTCTAACTAACCCTTAAATTTTCTGCTGCTGTCTAACATTCCAGGAGTAGTTTGTACTTTTTCCTTCCTTTTTTCCACACCAAACCTCTCACTTCCATATGCGTAAATGATGTCCCCAAATTTATCCAGCTTCTTTTCAACTGTACCAGTTAAAGGTTTAATCAAGTTCATGTTTTCATGCATTTTTACATGTATTGCAAAATGATAACTGCATTTACATTTAATCATTTAGCAGACGCTTTTATCCAAAGCGAGTTACAAATGAGGAGAGCAATAGAAGCAGTTAAGCTACTAACAATAGTACAACAATATGTAAAAGCTGTGTGACCCTTCCCAGTTTAATATAATGCAGTATATGTACTTGTTTATTTATTTCTAAGTAGATATAGAGTAGGAGTAAAGATAAAATGTGCTGCCGAAAAAGATTAGTCTTTAGCCGTTTCTTGAAAATGTCTACGGACTCTGATTGAGTTAGTCCAGGTAAAGTTTTGGAAAGTGATTTGTGCCTCTTTGAGATGGCACCACAATGTGATGTTCACTTGCAAGAATGCAAGTCTCTGAATGGCACGTAAGTCTTAAGTAGCCTAATGAGTTTAAAGGTAAAAGGGAGCAGAGCCAGTGGTGGTTCTGTAGGCAAGCATCAGTGCCTTGGCTTGAATTTGATGCAAGCGGCAATTAGCGACCAGTGCAATATTGTGAGGAGAGGAGTGACACTAGCTGCTGCATTCTGGATCAGTTGCAGAAGTTTGACAGTGCATGCTGGAAGACCTGCTAAGAGACCATTTCAATAGTCCATTCTGGATAGAACAAGCGCTTGGATATATATTATTTGTGAACTAATGATCAAATTTTATTTTTAATAGTCAACTAATTATTAGCAGTAATCAAGCTTGTACACACTGGTCACAGACACAGAAATGAAGATGTACAGTAGGCTACCTTTAATTTCTCCAAGCTAAAAATCCCCACAGTCAACATGTTTTCTGGCCATTTGATTTTGATGTGACATAAAGCAGTGATATCTTAAAGGCTTATTTGTTTACTTAAATTTAATTAGTCATTGTCGGGCTGATTCAAGAACGGCAATGAAAACAAGAGGTGGGATTTAACACACAAACCAATCATAACTGTTCATATCCAATCATAGTGCGATGGGGCCATAGTGCGATGGGATGCCTTGTCTCATGCGACTTTCCCCCATTCATTCTCAATTACCCCCTAAACCCACCACACATACAGTATTAGATTAGGGTGTCTGTTTTAAGTCAATGGGGAAAGAGGAAACGTGCCTCCCACTGTAATTTTACCTGCGGGTGTCATTGGGTAGTGTTACTTTACAAAAACAAGTGATTTATACAGTACATGTTTTAATGTCACATTTTGTAATATTTGCATTGTTTTATTTTTTGTAATATGGATTATTCCTCCATTTATTTTGAGGAGACACTGCCTCCCTTGCCTCCTCAGAGGAGACGCCCCTGACCAGTACATGCGGAAATGTTCCCATAGTTAACACCATGACCCAGCATCTCGTTTCCCTCTCAGGGAGGGAACCCATCTGAGGTGTTTTTTCAACTTAGGCTTAAAAAAACAAACAACAAGAAATATTTTAAAGAGAAGAATACATTTTAAGTCATACAGTTGTAATTCACAACTGTATTTCCTGCATAACACACCATAGCTATAGAGGCAAATATCTGAAAAGGAAAAATAACATAGGAATTTCAAATTCAAAATGAATTCAAATAATTCATGTAATTATGACACACACATACAAAACTCAGTACAGTAATGTCTGTTGTTTAGTTAATGTCAATTATAATTTATGCCATACTCTGCATTGATTCATGCCACATTTCAATAAATAGATTACAATATACAATATACAGAAGAATGTAATAGGAAGAGTAAAACCCACATACTTTAAAGAACATAAATCATGTGGACTTGGTTCAGGAGAAAAAAAGTAAAAACAATTCATTTATGAAATCAAACATATTTAAAACAGAAAAGCTTTTTAGAAATACACAACAATAATAATAATATGACAATGCATACATGTACTTGTACATGAATTTTGGGTTAAGACTGAAATTTGTTTAGGTTAAAAAAATGAAAAGGATAGGCTACTTGAAGAATATTTAAAAAAAAGTAAAGCGTCTGTTTACAGACTTTTTAGTGACTTCAGTCTCTTTAGAGGCAACATAAAGGCAATCCAATATTAAACAACAATGCTAAAAAAAAAAAAACTAAAAAAAAACTCAGTAACTGGACTACCTTTCCCACAAGCATTGTAAGCCTAAATTGATCATAGAACAATTGCCACCAAATGGTCTATCAATTTAGGCTTAGCCTACAGTACAATGCTTTTGGGAAAGGCAGCCCTGGTTATTGTGATTGATTCACTAAAATGAACCGACTCATTGCAATCATTAGCTGGACCACATTTCTTTATTTAATGCAAACAAGGAATGATAAATAACAAAACCCTAAAACTTCTCATCAAATTCATTCCGACAGCTCCGAATATCAGTAATTACAGTGAGCTTGCCTTGGTGATTAATGGTAACAAAACATTTTACACATTTCTTTTTTCTTTTTTTTTATATGAATCCTCAATAAATAATTTCTAAAGAAAAACTCAAATGAGAAATATACAGTACATATAAGAACAATGCTATGGTATTATATTAGCATTTTGCTTCAACCACAGCAACATTGTCTCATTGTGTGATTCTTTAAATTTGCATAAATTGTACCTCATGGATAGTTTTAAAAAAAAAAACTCTGCTTATGTATCTTCACATTTTGATCTCCAAGATTTGTAATTCACAAATGTATTTCCTGCATAACACACCATAGCTATAGAGGCAAATATCTGAAAAGGAAAAATAACATAGGAATTTCAAATTCAAAATGAATTCAAATAATTCATGTAATTATGACACACACATACAAAACCCAGTAGAGTAATGTCTGTTGTTTAGTTAATGTCAATTATTTCAGTCCAAGAAAATAATCAGTTGTGGATGAAAGACATTGCTGCACATGTGCTATGTTTGTTGTTTATAAGGAAACAAGAGTATTGATCAACTAATCAGAGAGAGATAAGTTGCATGTCATACCGTTGATGCTACCCAGCTGATGAAGTAGTAGCGCCCCCTAATGGCCACATTCGAAGATACACCAGTGACCACAGCTGCTGTCAGGTACAATACAGAAGCGCTGCCATTAAAACATATTCCCTGTGAATAAAGAAGCCTTCAGATTAATGAAAGGTTGGATTAAAAAAAGTAACATTAATTTGTAGTTCTAATTTACTCACCAGAATTGTCCATGGGATCTGGGGAATCCTGGTGTGGGCCGTGGTCAGGTACAAGAGGAAGAGAATGACAGTAAGCACCCAACAAAGGACTGACACAAACATTACCCACCCCAGTGCAGGAACATGGAGGTACTCCGTCCCACCAATCAGAGTCCACACCAGAAGCCCAAACACCTGAGATTGAGGATGGAGCACAGACTTATAGGACTGAAGCAGCACTGTTCATTTAAACAAGGGAAACACATGAAAGTGATCTAAAACCAACTATAAGAATGCAGATAACAGTATCACGGTTTCTGAGGGAATGCAGTCGTTGATAAAACGTATAACTTTAATGCATGGATAAAAGCCTCTGCAAAGTTTAAATCACCAACTCATATTATAGAACCTGAAAAGAACTTTTGGATTGAGCTTAAAAAAAAAAAAAACATTTTGAGAAAAAAAAACAAATAAAAAAAACAATGACAAATATGTTCTCCAAGCAGCAGAACAGGACCTTTCCACCACCCATTTTTAACACCATGTTATTCTCCAGAGATTTCCCACCCTCCCTTCCTGTTATATACAGCCAAAGAATTTCTCACTGTGCATGATTTACAGGAAAAAATATTTTGGGTTTAGAAGACAGAGCTGGGCTGTAGATTATAGCAGGAAAGGGAATGATTGAATTTGACTCATAGCATGTGGTGGAAGGAAGAAGAACAATACAAGCTGAAAGGAAGAGTTTGTTTCCCAACTGTTTTGGTTGGTCCTCTTCCTCTCTTTCCATAGTGAGTAATTATCTTTATAACCAACAAAAAGTCTTAGATTTTGTTGTTCCTATTCACTACATACCATATTGGTTCAAGCAATCCCTTGTGAAAAATAAATGTGTCTGATTGCATTGAATGTAGCATGTGGTATACTTCAAATCTTTAAAGTAGGCTATATTTAAAAACAGTACTTGTGGAAAATATTAAATTACATAAAATACGATTGTAGTGTATAAAGAGAGTACACTTTCATCACTATGTTTCTTAACACATTTGAGTATACTTAACAAAGTGCACTTTGTAATGCCAAACTAAACATTTTAACTTAAAGTTTTAACTCATTATGTTTTGATAAACTTGTGTCATGCTTTAAAGAACGAAGTACACTTATTTTGATGTGTTGACTAACATTAGAACATGTAAAGTACTTGTAGTGTGACACTCAATATTACATTTAAAGTTAATATATTTGAAATAGGCCTATATTAAATTGCAAATTCATCATTACAAATGCGTCATTACAAATATATTTAAATAGATGAAAATGTGCAATAGAAATTACATTAAAGTATGTAAATGCATTCGGCAGTACACCTTAACCATATTTCAAAGCCAAATAAAAATAATTAAGAAATTAGATAAAGATATTACATATAAAGTCCTACTTAAGCACTCTTAATTCCAGCTAATTGCATTTGATATAAACTGAAGTCTACACTATAAATTGAATGTAGTTTTGGCCACATTTTCATTTGATTACACAATTGAGTTTGCACTCAAATATATCAAAAGATGCAGCAATTCTCCTCTGGGAAATGGAAAGTCGAAACAAAACTTATTCATATAGACAAAAGGTACTATTCGTAGTAATCTAGATTTTCTTTCATTCTAATTCATATTACTGTAGCCTAATGTTTGTTTCATCAAGTGACTTAAAATAGTCTATTAGCTAGGATAAACCAAGATTAAAAAAAAGAAAAGATAAATCTAAATAAATTTTGATTCATTAGATATACAATTAGATACTTACGATTTCTCCAGCCATAAACATGCCACAGGCAGAACGAATAAAGTTCCCATCATAAGCCAACTTGGAGTGTGACAAGCCTAAACTCTCTATATTTGAGCTTTTACTTGTTCTGTCAGCACTGCTCCTGTCGATGCGGGACTCGGAGTCGATCTCCATTCTAACGAAATTACGAAATAAACACCCCGAATGAGCAACGAAATTATCCTTCCTGCTCCCAAAGGAAAGGAAGTTTAGGCTACTATGGTGAAGGTTTAATCCATTCGTGAAAGAATTGTTCTTTTGAGTCGGATCTTTTAATCTGTTGAACCGGTTTAAAAATAAATCTGTGGACGATTCGTTAACGGACAGGTCCGGTTCTCGAGCCAATAAAACTTCCCTATCCTCACGTCTCTTGGATAAGACTACTAGACATACAGTATAATCTATGTAAAATGAGACAGTCCATCGTCATGAACTGAAACCAGAGAGAGGAGAGACATAACCAATTCTATACGCTTCGGTTGGTTCACCTGCAGTCCAAGCAGCAAATGCAGGTAGGCCGACCCTTTTCCTCGGCAAACTATGGTTTTGAAGGTTTGGTTTTCGTTTTTTTTTTTTTTTTTTTTTTTTTTTTTTACTTATTCAGGATATTTATTGGTAAATGAATTTCAACCAGTGCCCTTTTCGTGTTCTAAAAGCAAGCATTGTTTGTAGGCTACTGACAAGCCTTATTCAAACGGAATCGATTCTTTTAACCGATTTGAGTAAGTTAATTAATTTGTATTCGACTTAAAATAGTGTTTTATTCACGAATTGCTGTAGCATATTATTTCATAAACTAATT